CTGGTATCAATTCCTGGAGGTAAAACATGGCTTCAGTCCTTTGTTCCTCAGACTTTCTAAGGTCAACATGTTATATAAACCAGAAAGACACAGATCTCCCCTCTGCCTTATTAATAAACAAACACATCTTCTGTGGAAGGAAAAGGTGGGAGGCCATAGGCCTTTAGAGATCGGGTTCTTCTAAAAGCAGATGTTCAAATATCAACATCTAAAGATCAGTCCTCAAAAACCCTCTTTTCTAAATACACTATAAATGGCTACAAATTTGTACCTATTTTTAGTACCAAATATTTCTTTTACCAGATAGGTTGAGCTGAATCTACAATCATCAGTCAAATGTTCTCAATCACATGCACATTGTCTAATAGCCTTTTTAAAAAGTACCTCTGCATCTAGAGCAATTGCTAGAGCAATCTAGCAACTTCATGTTTTTGAAGGCACCAAATCCCAATACAAAAATTTTAAGGCAAGGAACTAGGGCTTATTTTAGTAGAAGTTTGCAATGGCCTACAAAGAATTCATTTGGTCTTATCCAAAATCTAACAATGCCTCTGACATTAGCCAGATGTGACTGTCAGATATTTTAGAAGAGCTTCTTATTATCCCTAAGTTGCTAAGCTTAACTTCCAAAACCCCTGCCCTATTAGTAAAGACCTCTGCCAGATGCCTCAGGGAGTCCAGTAATAATTGGAGCAAGGATGAGGAAGGAGGAAGAAAGACAGGAGGAAAAGCATCTTCTGCCTGTGTTTTAATCAGAACTTCCCTGAGTTTATCAGTTTTACATGTTATTTTATTAGATAACTCCTTGTAATTTCATTTGAAGCAAAAATTAAAAATATGTAAAAATGTTGAAAAACTGTCCTAGATAAGCTCTCTTGATCTTAAAATCAGCCCACAAGGAAATCACTGAACTTGGGTAACCCAGGAGAGCAATTATCTAGTCAGTTCTTCAACTCTCCACCAGTTCCCTCAGATGCCAACCCAGCAGGATGAACAAGGCAATATTGTTTTAGCAAATTTAGAAAAATTCAATTTCTTTATATTTTGGAACTCATGACGTAAAACCTACTAACCAAGTAACCTTTATTTTGGCAAATTTGGAGACCACAAATAGGACTGTAAGCTGTCATTACTCAGAGGAGAGATTTTTTGGTGTGACAAAGCAAATGGCAGGGCTCTGTGGAAGAAATGCATTTCATCTGAGGTGTTCAGCTATCAGTGTGTTCCCACCAAGAAGTATGGGAAACACCTGCCACCAGGGATCCTCACCACCAGACTCTCACTTCAGTGAGGCAGAGAGATGAAACATGTCAATGCCCTCCAGCCAACAACATTGGGACCACACCTGGAGTTGACAAGCTGAGTTTATTTATTACAGGTTAGCAGAGAGAACCATGAGCATCTTAGTAAGAGACTGTTAGAAAGAACCTATGTTAATGAGGATTTGGGCTTTAGTTGGTTAGGTGATTTTGGGGAGAAGAGCAATCTAGAGAAGCAGGACTTGGTTCTAGATTGGATGCTGTCAGAAAGTGGGGATAATTCAATGACTGAATAGCTCAATAATCCTTACCTGTAGGCACAGTGGTCTAGAGCAGAATAAAGCTGTTAAGAATTCTAAGTCACTCATAAATTATAATTTTGACAAAGAACAGGAAAGGGCCAATGCTAGCCAGGGACAGATATTGTTCTTGATCCTACTAGGAAAGAATCTTTGTCAACTCCTTAGTGCAGGAGACCCTGTTTATTCAGAAACCACTGAATAATATTCTAGTTATTATGCATATCTTTGTCTACATCACATTCTAATCCTTAGCTTTGAACATGTGACTTGAGGGTTTTCTGTCTTCTTCACTGAAGCCCATGTTGAAGTATCTTTTCTGTGCTCACTCCATATAATTACCAGGAAATACCAGCTCCACCTGAATATTTCAGTCACTTATCTATGTCCAGAGTGCATAAAATCAGCTAAGTAATGCTGCTTGCTTCTCAAACTATCTGCAGTAAAGAAGCCATTTCTTTACTCCCCAGTTTCAGATCAGTCTTAAAATGCAATAAAAACGTTACTAGAAAAATAAAATGAAACATATGAAATATCAGCCCTACTTTCAAAATCATTATTAGACCCAACACACATACAATAACTGTCAAATTGCTATAAATTTTTTCCTATGTTCATCTAGTCATAAACCTGAGTCTACAAAGCCCACTTTGAGCAGCACTGGGATTATTATTATTATTATTATTATTATTATTATTAAATCAAAAACATTATTTAATACAAGTTAATTCAGTCTCATGTGCTCCTCATTTCACACTCACATAGCAGCCTAAGAGAGAAAGAGGTAGGGAATCTCACTCTTGGAGATTCCTTCCTAAGAACCCACCAATCTTAAGAGTAAATACCTGTGGCTGCTCCCAGGTACAGCAGCTTCACAGGACACATGCAGAAAATCAGATCATTGAAATCCCTGCTGCACCATTCTAAAATTAACCTAGTCAAAAGGATTAAATCTCCCCTCCAGATAGAGCTTCAATGGTATTCTCTTCCATATCAGAGACTCCACTCCATGCTTGCTAGACTCAGATTTCCCCATCCATGTTTTTAGGACAGAAGTGGCCATACTTTCTACTAGCATAATTTGGATTTGATTATAATCCCAGAGCTTCCTAGGGCAGTGGCTTTCTATGCCACCAGGTCAGTCCTCCAGCATTTGCATTATCTCAGTAACCCTGCTTCCCTCCAAAGGTCAAGAAGCTGAAGCTTAAGTCCATATGTAGCACATCAGAGGAACAAAAAGAGCTGAGGCAGCCACAGATCACCCAAATTTATTCACATTCTCATCAATTAAACTTCCCATTTTGTCTCTGCTAAAGGTTTATCCTGACCAACACCAATTCTGCGATTTTAAGAATTCATCCCCAGTTCAAGGAAATAGCCACTGTATTATCCCTCCAGTCTGTTAATCTGCTCTCTGTAACCCTGCTTCTGTTTCTGCCACCATCTGCTTTCTTCCTCCTGGCACAGGGCTGCTGTGTGCTGGAAACTAAAGGAGGCTTCCATCTGAGCATGTTCACATAGTGAGCGCTGCCTGATGAGGCCAGACCTACCCCGTTCCTGGACCAACTCAAGACCTGGCCCACTTCCCTCTCTTTAGAAACTGTCTCATTCATAAAATCTCTCCAAAAGGTATTTCCTTAACCACAATTTAAGGTAAACATGATTCACATACATACATGAAGTACACATATATTTAATTACATAAATATCTTCAACTATTATATATATTTTAATAGCACCAGAAATTTTAGACAGTGAAATTCTAAGGCAAATTTAACCATCTTTGAGCTCCAGAAGGTTGTAAACATAATTATTTCTCTTATCACTTCTGGCTTCCAACAGTTTTTAATTAATTAATGAACCAAAAAGTAAAGACTTGCACTTGCAGTCTACAAGTCTTATACACACTTATATTATTCTAAAGTGTATATGATATCAAAAGATAACGTATCTTGATAATGAGAAATTAAGGCCTAGGGACATAGTTGAGTGGTAGAGTGCTTGTCTAGTTCACACAAGGTCCTGGATTTAATCCCTACCACCTCCAAAAAAGAAAAAAAAAAGAGAGAGAAATTAAATAATCAATAATCCTAATTAATAATGTTTATACACACTTAATTTTCCTTTTACTTATTGTCTATGATTAAATAATGACATGTACAATAAGAAAAACACTGACACTAAGATTTAAAAGTTACTGTGATCATCCATTAAAATAATTTATTTGCATTTTCCTTCCCTAACCTGATTTTAAAGCTAATGTCCCAAGTTTCAAATCTTAACAGAGATTTTTTTTAATTTTATAGCGTAAAATAATATACTGGCACTGAATTAAGATTGATACTCAAGCTGGGTATGGTGATGCAGACCTGTAATTCCAGCGGCTTGACAGTCTGAGGCAGGAAGATCTCAAGTTCAAAGCCAGTCTCAGCAATTTAGCAAGGCTCTAAACAACTTAGTGAAACCCTGTCTCTGAATAAAATTTTTAAAAAGGGTTAGGGATGTTGCTCAGCGGTTAAGCACCCCTGAGTTCAATCCCTGGTACCAAAAAAAAAAAAAAAGATTGATACTCAAAATACTTTACTCAAAAGTATTATAAAGCAAGTACCATTTTACATAATTTATTCCTTTTATGCCTTGAACACCCAGAAACAGCAACCTGACAACAACAGGAAGATAAATGGTTGTTCTTTTTGAACAAAGACTTAGGGAGAGCTATGAATGCAAGAGGCATAAAACTCTGACACAATTTTCAAGTAATACTTAGAGACACAAAATCAAAATATTTCACATCTGTGAAGCACGTAAAAAAAAAGTTGGTTACTATTGGCCTCTGCTGCAAAATTGAAAGTCAATTTGTGGATATTTTATTTGAACATTTTTAAAAGGATATTTATTTGAACATTTTTTAAAAAAATCAATCATAACTACCACACAGAAGTACGCCTCATGTTCAGAAAGTAATGCTAGTTGGGCCCATTTCTGACAAAGGATCTGCTACATTTCCCACTTCACCATTCTGTGAGAAAGCTAAAGAATGCTTTCAAAATACTTTAAGAAGATACCCAAAGTTTCCACATAAGAAGTGAAATACCATCCTTTTGGAAGAATTTATGTTTGTTTAGGAAGCTTTCAGAAAGTTTTAAAAGAAAAAAAGGAAATAAAATCCACCAACATAACATAAGGGAAAACAAAAAATGCTAAAATAGTTCTTTTTTGTCTCTTGGAATAATGCTGTCTTCACGTCTCAAATTAAGCCAAAGCACACATCTTTGACAGTAAAACGTTTTCTAATGCCTTTTCCTGCACTGAAAATATAACAATGAGGCTTCCTTTCCACCTCTACCTTCCAAACCATGCTGAAGACATGCTGAATTCCAAACACCTGCAAACACACACAAGCATGCACACACACACACACACTGGATGGAATGAGTCTTACCAGACCATCACAGTTGCTAATGGCAACAGAGGTTCCTGGGACGCCCATGATGTCACCAACATAAGCACAGTTAGTCTGCAAAGGCTCTTTTCTCCAGATTCTTTCTGAAGCACTTCCAGGTTGATGCTTATTTATGGGGTCGGTTATATTCCCAGGCATCAGAGATGTCTCATGCCATTCCACAACAGCCCCAGGAGCTATAAGTTGAGTGTTAGGCTTTAGTCGCAGATGAAAATCTCTTCCAAATGCTGTGATGTTAAAGAACAGTTGCTCAGGGTTGGAAGACACGTCCCTTGTTGACCTCTTTTTGTGATTTGCAGAAAGAATATGGGAGAGATAATGTCCTTCTAGATTTGTGCTGACTGGAGTCACCAGCTCATACTCTCTATGTCTCTTTACTGGTAAATCTGTGGAGTAAAAAACAGAATTGTAGAACTCTGCAATGAGAACACAGAGATGGACATAACAACGGAATAAGGTACCCACCTCACAAGGCTGTGCCACATTGGCATAATAAATATATGTCTGTAGCATCTCATAAATATTAAGCTTCAAGAACTCAAACCATCTCTCAAATGTACTTAGGTAACTCAATGAACCATTTTTTAATTTAGAAAAAATATGTATTACATTGTGAATATTCACATTACATTTTTATGTTGGAGAACATGAATATAACAAGTTTCCATAAGCTATACTTGGCTTACTTTAAATCAATACATACCTCCAAATAACTTATTATTGGCACAAATGACACCTGCTACAAACTATTAACAAAGTTGATATTATGCAGAAAAAAAAATATGATTGTTTTCATTTTTCCCTGTAGAAACTCTAGAGTTTATGCTAATTACAATAAACACAGTTTGTTTCTTCTGCCATAAACCTGTAATTTTTATACTGTAGTACAGGGCTATAGTTTCTACATATTTTTTCAGTCATAACAACCCTAACAACCACACTTCATGCGAGAGGAAACTGAGATCCAGAGAATGTCTGTGTACAAGGTCAAACATACATGAAACTCAGATTTACTCCAAAGCCCATATGCTCATTCTGCTCTGCTCTGCTCTGCCCCTAAATCTTCATCTTCAAAAAATTAGAGTAGGCAAAAAAGAAAAGATAATAAATTCTGAATTGACTCTGCAGATAGAAGTTAGTCATGAGGGAACTGTATTCAAGTTTTGTGTCATATTCCTTACAGAGGGCAGATAGCCCCTTGAATATGTGTATTTGGAGCCCACCTTACAACATGGGTGGCCACTGACATGTAAACCTGAACTTCACAATCTTTAACTCATTTCCCCTTGCTTAGCTGAATGGGAGTACTATGTCAACTAGAATGCAAACACCCTTGGGAAAGAGGACAGTGGATACTGGAGAAGAAAGCAAGGAAGGATACAAAGATGCAAAAAGCAGATATTGAAAGGAAAATCTGAGGCCATGAATCAAAAGTTCTCCACTTGCATAATTCTACCTGAAGATTAGTCACGCAGTGTGTCAAAATGCCCTGAAAAAAGTTACTTAACTTAAAAATACTGTTTATCTATACAAATTGCATGTTTTGACATCCATTTAGAGCATGAATCCATAAATGAAAACATGACCTGTGCTCTTAACATATCTCAATAGAATCGTTATGTTCTCAGGCCATGTGCAAAGTACCAGAAGACAAACGAAGACTTTGTGCAACTTAGAAATTCTTTGTGCACATGTTTGTTATCATCATGCCACTTATAATGACCTATGTATTTCAACAAAATACTATTCTTTGTTAAGTACATAGAACAAGCAACACTCTGGTGAAAATTCACCAGGCAAGGAAAGAAAGACAACCATGTTATAACAGAGTAGAGTGAAGCCTGGCTCTGGTAGCAACAGCAGCACAATCCCTGCTACATTCAAATAAGCATCCATATAAGCCTAAGACACCCTGACAACCAAATCCATTGTGAAAACTTCTATAAATGGAACTGGACACTCAGGGAATGATCACAGCTGCCATAGGAGCAGCATGATGGAGGAGAAAGTTTCCACAGTCAGGGATGAATTAAGCCCTTGGATGTGGACTGACAAAGCCTACCCCCAAATTAACTATAATTTCTTTGAGGACAAGGAACCCTTCATTCAGCCTGATAGTCCCAATGTCTTCTAATGCAAGATTTTGTCTACGTTGGGGTTTCTTTCCAGGTGGATTTGTTTAATGTGTATTAAGACTGTAGATAACCAGAGACCTTTGCTTTGTCTACTACCCACACTGACTTATAAAACATACTACTCATAGCCCATGAGCCTGTGACTACATGAATAATCTCAGACATTACCCTTTCTCTAACCATCAGATCACAGTTTCAAGGGAATAAGGAAACAAGGATTAATTTCAATTTATGGATTTCCCATCTCCTCTGAAGGGAATTCACTTAAAATAGTCTAGACAATGTACTGATGGCTAGATTAAGCGACTGGAGATGAGAAAATTTAGGGACTACAAGGAGGCTCCCCCACACCCAAGAAGATATAGAGCCTCATGCTTACCACAAACCCTACATCCTAGATTCTCTGGGACAGCTCCATTTCCCACTGTCAGACAACATGTTCTGAAATTTTGTTTGAAATAAAGACAGTATATTCTACAAAGATTTTTCTCTCCCAATGCTACCTAATAAGTCATTCCTAATATGTACACATAAGAAGCATTTCTGAAATTAAACTTTGAACCAGTTATTCTCCAGTTGGGAATTAAGGTGATCAGATAAATGATGCAGTAAGCAATTCCCTGGCCACCATCTGCTAGGTGGCAGTCCAGGAACTGACAGAGACTGTCCACTTGCCTGCCATTTACTGACACAAGAGGACTGGGCTCTGTGCTTGTTCTTGAGAATATACCATCTCTAACAGGACCATCACAGCAGTAAGCATTACTACTCCTCCTATTCTTCAAATGAGAAAGCAGACCTAGAAGGCCAGACATACAAGCAAGGAGCCTAAGAAAAATCTCAGTTCTCATCATTTTGACTCTGAAGACACGTTCCCATGCTCTCATCCCCTTCAGAATAGATGAAACATCTTGCTGTCAATTTCTAATTTAAGATCTGACCTATAAAGGAAAACTAACACAAGAATAATGTTTTACTACCCACAGCTTTTAGTGTAGCTTGAAATAACTCTGTAAAAGGCTTTTTAAAGGGAAAAATGGAGGGCAGTGGGAAGAAACTATCAAAAAAAATTTTTGATCTCAGATTACAATCACATAAGAGAATCAAATCATATGCAATGCTAACTTTTCACATGGAGAAATTAAGCATTTTATAGACCCAATTACTTACACAAAGCAGTAAGGTGTATGGCTGAGGAGTAAACTTCAGCATGTCAGAAAACAAGAAGCTAAATCAACTCATCATCTCGACCCAGTTCATTTTCTCTTACACTGTTTCCTCAGTTGTTAACTGGTAGTCAGTAATAGTTCCAACTCCATAGATTTGGCAAGAGGTTTGAATGAGATTATGCAGAGGATTCAATAAATATTCACTACTGCCAATTTAAACATAAGTGAGCTACTCATTACAACAATGCCATGTTTAATTTTAAGATAAGAAACTGTACAATTACCAGCTGTGATGGCTGAGGGGCCAACACAAAAGGCAGGGAAAGTTTTCTGAGGGCCATAAGTTCTGCAAGTGTAGAGGGCTGTAGCCACTGTAGAACCCTATTTGGGGTCACTCATTACTCAAGCTTCATCCAGATTCAGTAATTTTTTTAACCTAGTGGCATCTGTGCACAAATAGTTCATCTCCCTCTTGGTTGTATGGATTAACCGTTGGTCCTCTAACATGAGAGCAAAACCTTCATTAGCAGGTGACTTTTCAGCCCCTCCTGCCTTTTCAAGAACTGTTTCACCAATGACTCCTTTTCATTTCACCAAGTGTCCCACATTATGAGATTATCCCTCTCCTCCAAAAATAAATAAGCTTTCATCATATTTCCCATCTTTACTAAAAAAATACTTCTGGATGCCACATCTCCCTCACTGGTATGAATGTGTCCCCCAAAATCCATATGTTGGAAATCTAATTCTCAAATCAACAGTGCTGAGAGATGGGGCCATTACCAGTTGATTAGGTCATGAGGGGTCTGCCCTCCTACATGGATTAGTGCTGTTGTCACAGAGGCAGTTAGGTATCACAGGAGTGGGTTCCCACTTTCCCTCTCTCCCCCCACAACACATGCTCTCTGGCCCTTGCACCCTCTGCCATGGGATGATGCAGCAAGAAGGGCTCATCAGACGTAGATCCCTCAATCTTGAACTCCCAGCCCCCATAATGGCAATAAATAAATATCAATTCTTTATGAGTTACCCAGTCTCAGGGATTCCACTGCAGAAACACAAAATGGACTAAGACACCCACCTCACCTCACTTATACCTCATTCCTTCACTTCCCTTGAAAGAAAAACTTCAGAAGATTGGCTATATTAGATCTCTCCATTCACTCTTGCCATTTTTGTTCTTTCTTAAATATATTGCAATTGAGTTCTTGTATGGTGACTGGTGACCACATGTTGTTTAAGCCAATGGTCAAGATTTAATTTCTTTACTTGCCCTATCAGTGGCATCTGACCTAGTTCATTCCTCCTTCCTTCTTGAAATATTTTATTTATCTGTCTTCTAGGACACTATGCTCTTCTGGCTCTCCCATGATCTCCCTCGTGTCCCCTTTCTCATTCTCCCTTCCTTGAGTCCCTTTACTTCCATGGCCAGCAGGACCTGTTATGTGGATGCCTCTTCTGCATCTATCCCCCAGAGCTTGGTGAGCTCATCCTGTCTTGTGACTTTGCATGCCTCTAAACCACAGTTCACCTGTCAGCTACTCTCTTGTACATCCAATGGCCTTCAGATCTTCTGGATATTATTCAGCAGGCATTTCAACTTAACATTCCCAAAATTAGACTCCCAACTTCCTTATCCACATTTCTTCCTCCTTTCCCATGTCAGTAAATGGCAACACTAGCCTTCTACTTAACTCAAACCCAAAACTTGACCAAACCATACTCAGCTCTTTGTATACCACAACCCTGCCTTTAACCAAATTCTATTGATTTCTACCTTCAAGATATATCCAGACTCTGACCACTCCTCACTACCTCACCAGCTACTAACCTAGTCCAAACCACCATCATCTCAGTTTTGAATGCATGTCATTACTGTACTTGCTTCTGCTCTGCCCCTTTGAGGGTTATCCTCAAAACAGACCCAGGGCAATTAAATTGTCACTCTTCTCCTCAAACCCATCCCACTAGCATAAAATGGCTCACAAGATCCTACAGCCTGAAGTTGAGAATTCTCACATCTCAAGATTTTAGACCTGTTGCTTCCTCTGCGTAAGTGTCTCCATTACTCCCAGACAGCAG